AAAAACCCCTCTCCCCCCCCTCCACCCCCCCCCCCCCGCATGTAAACATGTAACCACTGAAATTTCAAGCAATTGCATGTTTACACAAATACTCGATAGTTAACTTCCCTCCTCTACAATACACAGTTTGGTTTACAAAAGTCAGGAAAACCATGTAATTGTCTTCTGCCTGATATTTTCTTCAATCTTGGGTGCCACCCAGACTCCTGGTTTGAGCTGCTGTCAGGGCTCTCCACAGAGAGTCCTGATTCCTCCTGGGATACCAGCTTACTGCTGAGAAAGCAGCAACCTACCAAACTCTGGGAGCAGATCTCTACAACGGAGTTGAGAAGACCTGAGTGACTTTCTTCTCCCATTCCTAGAGATGTAAAATTTCAATTATTTGGCTAATCGAATAGATGGTGCAATTTGTATCGACTATTTGATTAGTCGATAAGGGTGCTTCTGCCTTTGAAATGCTGGCCCCATGCTCCTCATGGAGTTTTAAAGCGGCAGCGCCACGTGGAGCCTGGGGTCAGCGGGGCAGTCCCCAGCTGGCCCCCGGCTCCACACAGCACTGCTGCTTTGAAACGCCATGTGTAGCCCAGGGCCATCTGGCAATTCCAGGCTCCACGTGGCACTGCCGCTTTGAAGCAAGGGGCGGGAAGCAACTAGTCAACTAGCCTGTCAAATATCCGATAAGCAAATGCTTATCAGATAGTTGTCTAGTCGTTCACATCCCTACCCACTCTTGGCTGAGGAGGAGAACAGCTGGGCTCCCTATAAGAGAACAGTGTGGCGTTGAAAGCCTTGGCTCTGTCTACCATGCTTCCTTCTCTTCCTCAAAGGAGAATAGTGTGGACATTGTCTACCACTATAATTAATACAGTGGCTGTATGTTCACCTAACATAGGTCAACTTATCATTGTAGTGTAGATTTAACCTCATTGTTAGTTACTTAGTCAACGTTTTTAGAATTTCTTGGTAACGTAACTTCTACAATCAGAACAACATAATGGTAACAACATTTTTTAAATGAGAACAGATCCTAGAGATGAAGGTTGTAACTTTAGAAAGTTTGGGCCTGGGCTCAAAGGTTACGTTTTCATATTTAACAGGAGTTAGAATGAACTAACGTTTGTTTTTGTTACTGAGTTTTATTTATTTTCATTTAGTATGATGTGATACCAATGACTCATAAAAGGGAGTCATCTTGTTTTTAGTCTGTCTGCAGATTTATTGGCTTTGGATTCACTTTCAGTTATAAAATTGTTAAATAACAGAATACTGTTTGGAAATATTTTAGTTTAAGCTTGAAAAATTGAGGAAAGCTTTTAACACTTGATGCTTTTGATAAGTAATTAAAGTGTGGTAAAAGGAGAAATTATTCAGTCATCTTTAAAATGTAGATTATAGTCTTGATTTAGATGGCTTCCCTCATTGTTTCATTTGTCACCCTCCTTCAAATACGGATATCCTCAAACACCTTTAAGTTTGGAAGCATTGCTAGGGCATTTTAACAGTAACCAGTTCAATTACATAATACTTTTGTAATACAATTACTTAAAACGCTTCAGTTTGTATCCTTGACGTCATTAATATCAGCATAATGTATGCTGCCAGGGGAATACAAAACTGTTTTTTCTTTGCAGCTTAGACTTTGAAGAATGTGCTCACAAATTGCTGAAGATGGACTTTCCTGACAGTCAAACTGTAAGCCTTGCTTTTTATTCCCTTTCTGGAGTAGAGGGCTTCAGAAGGAATATAATTTGATCATTATCATTTTAACAAAATTAATATTTACGTGATATACAGCTACAATGGAATAATGTTATTTCTAAAATGGAATTTAAAAGTGAAGTCATTCTATTTATAAAAAAGTTTGTTTATAAGCTGTTGAAATGTTCTTTGCCACAAATGACAAAACGACTACTATAGAATAGCCATAACTTAGAGCAGGCCTGCACAATTAAGGGGCAGGCTAGCCAGGCAGCTGCCCAGAGCACCAATCTATGGGGGGGCACTAAAACACCCTAGAACCCAGAGTTACTCCGCCACGCGGCATGTGCCTGCTGCGCTGCCGCGTCGATGGGACTCCCTGACCCCGGGTCTCCCCTGTCCACCGCGGGGGGCAGAGAGCCTGGGAGTGCACTGAGGCCAGGTTCGCACTGTGCCGTGTGCCTGCCCAGCTGGGCTTGCCTCCACTCGGCATTGGATTGCTCTGGTCTGCCCTGACCTCATGCTCAAGGTGTGCTTATCCGAGTGCCAAGGTCCGCTTCCAGGCACCTGCTGCTGTATGAGGCTCCAGATCCTGGCGCTGGCAGGTAAGGCCAGGCAGGGGGAGGGGCCCGCTGCACTCCGTGAAGGGGGGAGCGTTGAAGGCCGGACCAGTTAAAAAAGAAAATGCTCCCACGGGGAGGGAGGAGGGAGGGATCAGAAGCAGTGCTCTCTCTCCCCCGCCCCCCCACCTCTGCTCCTCAGCACAGAGGGGGGGCACAGGGTAGGGAGAGGGGGGCGGCCTCCCTCAGGGCTCCCCACCCCAAAACTACCCTTGCAGCCTGCAGCAGTTTTCTTTGGAGTAATATGGCCCTCACCTCTTTCTGAGTTGTGCAGGCCTGACTTAGAGGCTAGAGAAATGCCTCTGAAAGAAGGTTTTAGTTTTTTAGTAGATTTGTGGATAGCTGTTGACTTTCTGTTTAGCTAGAAATTTAACACAGTAGCTTCAAAAGATGGAATTGCACCCTGTTTTATGGGACTGCTTTAAAAAAACAGTTTTTACTGCTTTTATAGTCTTTTTTGAGCAATACGTACTATACTATGCAGTCACCTCCAGACATGTCTGTTTTGGAGTAAGCTTGAGAACTAACTGCTTGTCTGTACATAGTACATATAAAATCCATTTGACTGCCATGTTTTCTGAAAAGGAAATTGCTGTTTGACTAGAGCTTAAACCAACTCCAAGTAATGTATAGGACTTCAATAGCCATGTCATTTCCAACACAGATTTTTAGTCAGTGGTGAGATTGTTCCTCTTTTATGTATTTATTTTAAAGTCATAATTCAGATACCTAAACTTGTGGATTACAGTGAACCCTCGCTACTTCGCGGTTCGACTATCGCGGATTCACGACTTCGCGGACTTTTTTCATTACATTATGTATATACGTGAATCCGCGATGGTCGCCATGTCATTTCCAACACAGATTTTTAGTCAGTGGTGAGATTGTTCCTCTTTTATGTATTTATTTTAAAGTCATAATTCAGATACCTAAACTTGTGGATTACAGTGAACCCTCGCTACTTCGCGGTTCGACTATCGCGGATTCACGACTTCGCGGACTTTTTTCATTACATTATGTATATACGTGAATCCGCGATGGTCGAACC